TCTTCGTATAGCCCCCATATAACGGTACCTCCCGATGAAACGATTCACCAGAATCGTTTCAAATTTCGTGTTTGAAGTTCGCAATGGGTACTACAGCCTACGACAAGAATTTTTGTATGCAACTCCACGTCTTCGTATAGCCCCTATATAACGCTACCTACCGATATTCGATATTTTGACGATTTCAGCAACATTATTCACCGGAAAGATTTTAATGGGTACTACAACTTATGGCAAAAAATTTCGTATGCAGGTCCACGTCTTCGTATAGCCCCCATATGACGGTACCTACCGATAGCCTGTATTTTCATGCAGGTCCATGTCTTCGTATAGTCCCCATATAAAGGTTTTAATTTAAGTGGGAGTTTTCGGATTTTTTTATATCCTCCACCTTGGAAAGGAGGGTATATTAACTTTGTCATTCCGTTTGTAACATCCTTAAATATTCGTCGTAGACCCCATAAATTATATATATTCATAATCAGCATAAAATTCTAAGTCGATTTAACGATGTCCGTCTGTCTGTTGAAATCACGATACAGCCCACATTATTTGACGTAGAGCACCAAAATTTGGGAGAGCAATTGGTATTGTGTCTAGGATAGTTGGTATTGAAAATGAGGTATATCGGTCCACGTTTTGGTATAGCCTCCATATAATGGTACCTCCCGATATTCGGTATTTTGTTGGTTTTTGCCACATTTCTTCACTGATTTGTCTAAAAATTGGTAGTTGTGAGTCATAATGGGTTCCAGTTCGTGTGGCGAAACATTGTATGTATAGGTCCACGTTTTGGAATAGTCCCCATATAACGGTACCTCCCAATATTCGGTATTTTAATGATTTTTGCCACATTTTTTTCACGTATTTTTCTGAAAGTTGATATTTGTAGGTCATAATGGGTTCTAGCTCCGTTGGCGGAACCTTGCATGTGTAGGTCTACAATTTGGTATAGCCCCCATATAACGGTACCTCCCGATATTCGGCATTTTAATGGTTTTTGCCACATTTCTTCTAATTTTTCCTTTACCATAAGGTGGAGGGTATTAAAAGTTTGGCCCGGCCGAACTTAATGTTTTTTAAATGTTTTTTACTTGTTTTTTTTTTTTTTTTTTTTTTTTGAAATAGTTCAAGTTCTTTCCAAATGGTGGAGTGTATGAAAAGTTTGGCCCGGCGGAACTTAGCTGTTTTTTAACTTGTTTTCTTTTATTTTTTTTAATTCTTTGGTTCCTCACAAAGCGGTACATCCGAATATTTCGTATTTTGGTCATTTTAGTCACATTTTTATCAGTACATCTTATTAAATTTGATATTTGACACTTTGTCAACTTTTTTGGTAGGAACCCGGTACCATCGAAGTTACAGGTTTTTTTCCAACCGATTTTACCTGCAAAAATGGAAGTTGATCCAATATTCAATCCCATCTTCATGGTGAAGGGCATTAAAAGTTCGGTCCGCGTTTTTGCTTATACGTCTTTTTTTATTCAATTTTATCACTTTTTCGCTTAATTATTATATCCAACAACATAGTGTTGTTGGGGGTATTTAAAGTTTGATTGGGCCAAAAATTATTTAACACCTTGAAATATTTTTATATATGAATCTTCCTATCTAAAACATAAAAATTCATGATTGCTGTTACAGGGCGTAATCATAATCCAATCGTCGGGTTAGAGTTTAGTGCTGGGGAGATCCGATGGGGAGATCCAGTAGTCGGCCTTTTTAGGATTTTCGCGTTTTTAATCGCTCACCATTCTGGTTGGAACTTTTCAATTATTACAAAGTTAATTTTTCAGATTCAAAACTTTGTATAATAAATAAAGTTTTGTATATATAAATAAAGTTTTAATAACTTTTTATTAAATTTCATAAATTTGTAGTTTTATTAAAACAATGCTTTTTTGCCAGTAGTCGGCACCACTTGCCAATTGTTGGTATGGCATGTTCCAACAGTCGGCGTACCAATTTTTTTGTAAGAATAATTAATAATAATAATAAATTAATTCATTAAAATATAATATTTTTGTTTAGTTAAACTGATGTGACGCATTTATTGTACTTTTCTTAAGATTATGGATTGTTGAGGACCTTCACAGGCAAAAATTTAATTTTTATTAGAATAAATCATCTTTTCTTAGCGAAATTGTACACAAAGATAGCTGGCAATATATTTAGTTATAATATTTTCATTTATTTGGGTTTGAAAATAAAAAGTGCCGACTACTGGGACATGCCGAACTTAGGCACACTTACCCTATATATATAGATTTTACCAACTAAATATTGTTGGGGATTGTCTCTGGGTAGAAAAAGATAAAATCCAAAAAAATCGAGTAATAATGTGAAATTTGAAATTTTTTATTTTGACTTTTGAAATATACAAATGTAATGTTTTATTTTGCATGATTTTTTTCTCCATATTTACTTACTATTTTCAAAGACATATAATTTAATAAGATGGGACATTACATTGTTACTTTTGTTCAATAGATGGCGTTGATAGTGGAAAAATTTGTTATGTCACGATATCCTGACATAGCATTATATTATACTTTAACAGAGCTGACACATTTTAAGGGTTGTTGTTGATTTTTATCGATTCAATGTACAAGGAAATGCTCTGGAATAGATTTTCCAGAGAATGTCTATCATACCTGATACTTTTTTCCACGTATTTCCGATATCGGAATAACATATTTTTCTAAAATTTCCAATGCATTTCTGTTATATCGCCTGCCATCTACTACCTAATAGAAAATTTAAAGCAAATATGGATTTTGTCCAGTCTTTATAGTTTCATGTCTTTGCTATTTATACCCTACACCACAAGGTGTTCAGCGTATTATGTCTTTGTGCATTTGTTTGTAACAGGCAAAAGGAAACGAGTAATACCCATAGTTGCTTTTGATGATCTGCATAGAATCACATTCTGAGTCGATTTATGCATGTCCGTCCGTCTGTCCATATATTTTTGTAAAAAAAGAACAGTTCGCATTTATTAGCCGATCCAGATGAAATTTTGCACAAATCATTTGTTTGGCCCAAGGACGAACCCTATTGAAATTGGAGATAATCGGTCAAAATTTAGATATAGCTCCCATATATATCTTCGTCCGATTTGCCTTTTATTGTGCACCAAACGTGTAATATCAGCCCGAATAGTATGGAATTTTGCACACACAACCAAATTAGGCCTGAAAATAAGTATGGCAGAATTTAATTTTAAATCGGTTTAGATATAGCTATAGCTCACATATATATTGTTCATCCGATTTGTTATTTTTGTCCTCCGCAGCCGTAATATGCACTCTGTAACAACAATATTTGGGGAAATATATCAAATACAGCTCAGAAATACATTTGCTAAATTTTATCGAGATCCGTTCAGATTTGGGTATTGCTCCCATATATAACTTCGTCCGAGTTACGTTTTTATTGTGCACCAAACGTCTAATATTTGCCCAAATGGGATGCAATTTGGCACTTACTATCGAATTGAGCCTAGAAGCTAGCATGTCAAATTTGGTGAAGATCGATTCAGATATAGCTATAGCTCCCACATATATAGTGTTCATCGAATTTGTTATATTTATTACTCTCAGCAGTAATACCCACTCCGTAGCAACGATATTCAGGGAAATATATCAAATACAGCTCAGAAATATCTTTGCCAAATTTTATCGAGATCGGTTCAGATTTGGATATAGCTCCCATATATATCTTTATCCGATTTCAAATTAATTGTGCCCCAAATGGGCAATACAAGTTAGAATTTAAAAGATACAAATACTTCGGCATATTTAGTCCTTTGAACTTTAAATTATAATTATAATCATAACGTGTTATGCGGAGCTCTACTAAATTAGCAAAGTGGTGTAGGGTGTCATAAAGTCGGCCCCGCCCGACTTTACGACTTTCTTTACTGGCTTGGAATGTACTAATAAAATGTGAATATTTTGTGATATATTTTTTACATTGTCAAAATTCCGAATGTAAGATGTTACAGTTATACGGGGCTATATAAGAATGTGTACCTCTAGAGCCAATTATCTGCCAGCGATACAAAGGTGCTTATTACTTTTTGAAAAATTTAACTAAAATAATCAAAATATCGCATAGTGGGAGGTACCGTTATAGGGGCTTATATGCGATTTTCTGTCAGCAGAGGTAGTATTCACTATGAACACTGAACACCAAATTTAATACAATCCAAGTGGAAAATGTGACACAATTCAACAAAATACCGAATATCGGAGGGTACAGTTTGCATGAGGACTATACCTAAACTTGGATCTCTAGGACAGTTCTTTGCAGAGATGTGTCAAAAATATGACTATATGGCTGGTAGTACAGGTTCATTCCAAAAATGTTTCTGACTTAAAATATATCTCAGCAAGATTTTATCAATCTACCAATCAATCGATCAATTTTTCCAGGACCATCAGATTAATGATCTAGAAATTGTTAAGAAAAAATTATCCGTCGGTTCCATTGGACCTTACCTTTTCCAAAATGATTGATTTGAACAATTTTCCTAAATGAATGGTTTACGCTGTCTATTGGATGATATAGATCTGAACAACAACAGAACCACTTAGCGTTTTAATTTTTTTTTAAATTATATGGCTTTGGTGGCCATTCGGCTAATAAAAATCCATTGTTCTCATAAATGGCATTTGATCGTTTAAAATATTCCAATACATTACAAGGTGAATAAAGCTTCAAATATATCCACCAGTCCATTGTAGGGTATACCATCCACTTCATAGTAGATAAAAACTTCCATAAAATAAAAATTAGATAGCAGATTGATCGCATAAACACACAAACAATAATCGTCTTTTTAATTAGTTGTTGATGTATTCTTTATGGTCATCACAAATCAAATACTGATAAACATTTAGTGATAAAATAATAAACAATAATACCCTTATTTTGCTTTTATTTCTTTCTACTTTTTATATTTAAGAATATTTCACTTTCACTACCCAACAAAAAAAATCCGTCTTTGTTCGCTCGAAAACGTTGATCGATTCAAACATACATTTCAAAATCTTCTTTTCTCAACACAAAATGACGAAAGGCCACGAAATAAAATTTTATAAAAAAGAAATAAATATAAGGCAAGTGATTAAAGACCAGGCCCTGCAAGACACCGATGATGCGTTGTATGTCTGTGATATAAATGATTTTCGCAGGAAATATGAAATATGGGATCAACTAATGCCTGGAATTAAACCCCATTATGGTAAGAGAATAGTATTTTCGAAATTTCCTGAAGTGAATAGCATCAGCTGTATTTTCCAGCTGTCAAATGTAATGATGATATCATGGTTATTAAAACCCTGGCTAAATTGGGCGCCAATTTTGATTGCGCTTCGATGGGTGAAATAAAACTGGTACTGGATGCAAATGTTGAACCAGAACGCATCATATTTGCCATGCCTTGTAAACCTTTGACGCATTTAGCCTACGCAAAGGAGAATGGAGTTATAACCAGTACAGTTGATTCTGACTTTGAAATTTTAAAGATACATCGTCATTTTCCCGAGTCAAAGTGGGTGATGTTTTTATTGCAGACAAATTTTGTTTTTTTGAGGATAATTTATTTTGCACTTTTTTCGATAGTCTGGTAATACGAATACGTTGTGACGCTACCGATGTGAAATTGTCGTTTGGTGAAAAATTTGGCTGCAATGCTAAAACCGAGGCTCCTGCCATAATGTTATTGGCCAAGGAATTGAAATTGAATGTAAGTGATTTTATAACTAAATCAGGTGAAAACGAACGAAAATTGTAAGAAGTTAGGTGTATAGTCAGAAAAGAAGCCTATTGTTTTTTAAGATAATCGGAAAATATTTCCTGATATTGCAGTTCTTCTACAAAACACATACAATATCATATATCAAAGAAGGAGATGCTACTTACACCGCTCATAATTTAAGAATGACTGGTAGGATTTTGACAATTCTCTCCAATCCAGAATGGCATTTTGACAGAAAAGAATAAACTCTATTAGCATCTGCATAAAAAGATGCAAATAAAAACCAGTAAAGAAAGTCTTAAAGTCGGGCAGGGCCGATTTTATGATACCCTACACCACTTTGCTAATTTAGTAGAGCTCCGCATGTCAATTAAAAGTTTTTATTGGAGAATTCAATTATACACGCTATGATTATAATTATAATTTAAAGGACTAAAGGACTAAATATGCCGAAGCATTTGTATCTTTTAAATTCGGACTTGTATTGCCCATTTGGTGCACAATTAATTTGAAATCGGATAAAAATATATATGGAAGCTATATCCAAATCGGAACCGATCTCGATAAAATTTGGAAAATATATTTCTGAGCTGTATTTGATATATTTCCTTGAATATCGTTGCTACGGAGTGCATATTACGGCTATGGGTAACAAATATGACAAATCGGATGAACAGTATATATGGGAGCTATAGCTATATATGAACCAATCCAAATTTGACATACTAGCTTCTACGCTCAATTCGGCCGTAAGTGCCAAATTTCATCCAATTTGGACAAATATTAGACGTTTGGTGAACAATCAAAGGTAAATCGGACGAAGTTATATATGGGAGCTATATCCAAATCTGAACCGATCTCGATAAAATTTAGCAAATGCATTTCTGAGCTGCATTTGATATATTTCCCCAAATATTGTTGTTACAGAGTGCATATTACGGCTGCGGAGGACAAAAGTAACAAATCGGATGAACAATATATATGGCAGCTATAGCTATATCTGAACCAATTTCGATCAAATTTGGCATACTTATTTGTAGGCCTAATCTGATCGTGCGTGCAAAATTCCATACTATTCGGGCTGATATTACACGTTTGGTGCACAATAAAAGGCAAATCGCACAACTCAATTGTTTGGCCCAAGAACGAACCCTATTGAAATTGGAGATAATCGATCAAAATTTATATATAGCTCCCATCTATATCTTCGTCCGATTTGCCTTTTATTGTGCACCAAACATGTAATAACAGCCCGAATAGTATGGAATTTTGCACATACAACCGAATTTGGCCTGTAAATAAGTATGCCAAATTTGATCGAAATCGGTTCAGATATAGCTATAGCTCCCATTTATATTGTTCATTCGATTTGTTATTTTGTCCCCGTAGCCGTAATATGCACTCTGTAACAACAATATTTGGGGAAATATATCAAATACAGCTCAGAAATACATTTTCTAGATTTTATCGAGATCGGATAAGATTTGGATATAGCTCCCATATATAACTTCGTCCGATTTAATTTTTATTGTGCACCAAACGTCCAATATTTGCCCAAATGGAATGGAATTTGGCACTTACGACCGAATTGAGTCTAGTATGTCAAATTTGGTGAAGATCGGTCCAGATATATCTATAGCTCCCATTTATACTGTTCATCCGATTTGTTATATTTGTTACCCACAGCCGTAATATGCACTCCGTAACAACGATATTCAGGAAAAATACAGCTGAGAAATATCTTTGCCAAATTTTATGGAGTTGTTGATGTATTCTTTATGGTCATCACAAATCAAATACTGATAAACATTTAGTGATAAAATAATAAACAATAATACCCTTATTTTGCTTTTATTTCTTTCTACTTTTTTATATTTAAGAATATTTCACTTTCACTACCCAACAAAAAAAATCCGTCTTTGTTCGCTCGAAAACGTTGATCGATTCAAACATACATTTCAAAATCTTCTTTTCTCAACACAAAATGACGAAAGGCCACGAAATAAAATTTTATAAAAAAGAAATAAATATAAGGCAAGTGATTAAAGACCAGGCCCTGCAAGACACCGATGATGCGTTGTATGTCTGTGATATAAATGATTTTCGCAGGAAATATGAAATATGGGATCAACTAATGCCTGGAATTAAACCCCATTATGGTAAGAGAATAGTATTTTCGAAATTTCCTGAAGTGAATAGCATCAGCTGTATTTTCCAGCTGTCAAATGTAATGATGATATCATGGTTATTAAAACCCTGGCTAAATTGGGCGCCAATTTTGATTGCGCTTCGATGGGTGAAATAAAACTGGTACTGGATGCAAATGTTGAACCAGAACGCATCATATTTGCCATGCCTTGTAAACCTTTGACGCATTTAGCCTACGCAAAGGAGAATGGAGTTATAACCAGTACAGTTGATTCTGACTTTGAAATTTTAAAGATACATCGTCATTTTCCCGAGTCAAAGTGGGTGATGTTTTTATTGCAGACAAATTTTGTTTTTTTGAGGATAATTTATTTTGCACTTTTTTCGATAGTCTGGTAATACGAATACGTTGTGACGCTACCGATGTGAAATTGTCGTTTGGTGAAAAATTTGGCTGCAATGCTAAAACCGAGGCTCCTGCCATAATGTTATTGGCCAAGGAATTGAAATTGAATGTAAGTGATTTTATAACTAAATCAGGTGAAAACGAACGAAAATTGTAAGAAGTTAGGTGTATAGTCAGAAAAGAAGCCTATTGTTTTTTAAGATAATCGGAAAATATTTCCTGATATTGCAGTTCTTCTACAAAACACATACAATATCATATATCAAAGAAGGAGATGCTACTTACACCGCTCATAATTTAAGAATGACTGGTAGGATTTTGACAATTCTCTCCAATCCAGAATGGCATTTTGACAGAAAAGAATAAACTCTATTAGCATCTGCATAAAAAGATGCAAATAAAAACCAGTAAAGAAAGTCTTAAAGTCGGGCAGGGCCGATTTTATGATACCCTACACCACTTTGCTAATTTAGTAGAGCTCCGCATGTCAATTAAAAGTTTTTATTGGAGAATTCAATTATACACGCTATGATTATAATTATAATTTAAAGGACTAAAGGACTAAATATGCCGAAGCATTTGTATCTTTTAAATTCGGACTTGTATTGCCCATTTGGTGCACAATTAATTTGAAATCGGATAAAAATATATATGGAAGCTATATCCAAATCGGAACCGATCTCGATAAAATTTGGAAAATATATTTCTGAGCTGTATTTGATATATTTCCTTGAATATCGTTGCTACGGAGTGCATATTACGGCTATGGGTAACAAATATGACAAATCGGATGAACAGTATATATGGGAGCTATAGCTATATATGAACCAATCCAAATTTGACATACTAGCTTCTACGCTCAATTCGGCCGTAAGTGCCAAATTTCATCCAATTTGGACAAATATTAGACGTTTGGTGAACAATCAAAGGTAAATCGGACGAAGTTATATATGGGAGCTATATCCAAATCTGAACCGATCTCGATAAAATTTAGCAAATGCATTTCTGAGCTGCATTTGATATATTTCCCCAAATATTGTTGTTACAGAGTGCATATTACGGCTGCGGAGGACAAAAGTAACAAATCGGATGAACAATATATATGGCAGCTATAGCTATATCTGAACCAATTTCGATCAAATTTGGCATACTTATTTGTAGGCCTAATCTGATCGTGCGTGCAAAATTCCATACTATTCGGGCTGATATTACACGTTTGGTGCACAATAAAAGGCAAATCGCACAACTCAATTGTTTGGCCCAAGAACGAACCCTATTGAAATTGGAGATAATCGATCAAAATTTATATATAGCTCCCATCTATATCTTCGTCCGATTTGCCTTTTATTGTGCACCAAACATGTAATAACAGCCCGAATAGTATGGAATTTTGCACATACAACCGAATTTGGCCTGTAAATAAGTATGCCAAATTTGATCGAAATCGGTTCAGATATAGCTATAGCTCCCATTTATATTGTTCATTCGATTTGTTATTTTGTCCCCGTAGCCGTAATATGCACTCTGTAACAACAATATTTGGGGAAATATATCAAATACAGCTCAGAAATACATTTTCTAGATTTTATCGAGATCGGATAAGATTTGGATATAGCTCCCATATATAACTTCGTCCGATTTAATTTTTATTGTGCACCAAACGTCCAATATTTGCCCAAATGGAATGGAATTTGGCACTTACGACCGAATTGAGTCTAGTATGTCAAATTTGGTGAAGATCGGTCCAGATATATCTATAGCTCCCATTTATACTGTTCATCCGATTTGTTATATTTGTTACCCACAGCCGTAATATGCACTCCGTAACAACGATATTCAGGAAAAATACAGCTGAGAAATATCTTTGCCAAATTTTATGGAGATCGGTTCCGATTTGGATATAGCTCCCATATATATTTTTATCCGATTTCAAATTAATGGGCAATACAAGTCCGAATTTAAAAGATACGAATGCTTCGGCATATTTAGTCTTTTGAACTTTAAATTATAATTATAATCACGACGTGTATGATTGAATTCTCCCATAAAAATTTTAATTTTTATGCGGAGCTCTACTAAATTAGCAAAGTGGTGTAGGGTGTCATAAAGTCGGCCCAACCCAACTTAAAAGACTTTCTTTAGTGGTTTTTCATTGCTTATGCTTGCGAGGGATTGTAAATGCTTGTGCGCTCTGCAACTTTATCGCTCGCGATAAATTAAGAAACAATCGAATTGTCGCCGTGAATAGTTGTGAGAAAGAGCGTATTATAATCATTATCCTCACCCTATAATATGGAGGGTATATTAAGTTTGTCATTTCGTTTGTAACACCTCGAATACATTTTATACATTTTAGACACCTTAAAGTAAATATATTCTTGATCAGCATAAAGTTCTATGTCGATTTAGCGATGTCCGTCCGTCAGTCTGTCCGTCTATCCTTTTGTCCGTTCGTAATGGATACTACAGGCTATGATAGAAAATTTTCTGTGCAGGT